TATTTGTTATTTCCTGGACCGTTCAGATCTGGTAACGCTTGAGCATCCGCAAACAAAAATAAAGAAAAAAGCGATGAAGAAAAGCGGCGATTACTTATGCACTGAACTACTTGCAAATTTGTCAACTAGGTATATTGCTAACGTTGTGTGGAATACCTATTTTGAGCAAGTTTTAAAAAGAAAAGTATATTTAAGCCGCAAAAAACGTGTTGTTGGTGTACTGTGTGTCCAAAATAGCACAAGAAAAGTCTGCACATTTATTGCAGTAGCTGACAAAAATTATTCGGTTGAGTACCCCGACAAGTTCCTATTAAATATACAAAACAAATGAGAAAATCCCTTACATCTTACATTAGTTTCTTTTATGGATCATCACAAGAATATTTATACTTGTTTATATTATTTATCTAGAAAATACTATCAATATACGTCAGGCATCAATTCAAATTCTGTGATATTCTGTCACAATGGATTCTATGATAGAATCGTCGATGCTAAAACTCTTGCTGAAATACTTGAGAGGTTGGTCCAGTGGCACCTTTTATACGGTACATATATTATATACATATATTATATATATAATAATGATCATTATGAATGTTTATTCGACTTCTTGTTCTATTCTATTCATGCATATATAATTCGCTGACTAAATCAACTTATCTCGATGATTACCTCTGTGTACCTTTCCGCAATGTGTAAGATAGGTGACTATTGGTCCGTTTGCTAAGATTAATCCTTTCTGCGATACCTATAATTGACAACGAAATCTTCGGTCCTTTGGCCCTTTCTTTCAGGTATGCTACAATTGCTGCCATTGTAAAAGTTGAGTGCAAGGAACATTCCTTCCTTTTCGGTAAAAACTACTGGAAATTATTCTTTCGTATCAAGGTCGGATTTTTTCTCTAGTTTTATTTAACAGCAAGTGAGCAGAGGTTCATGAGTGGCAGGTATCGATGGCCCCTCGCTGAATCGCGCCCTACATCTCTTGGCGCGACTCGCAGGTGAGCAGTACCTACGTGTTAGAGAGCTCGAAAGTGGCTCTTACCATGTGTCAAGCGGATGGTGTAAAATTATTAGGCTAGTTAATCTTGTAAGTTCCCTCTTCCAGTACATTTACCTATATTCGAGTAGTATGTCCAGAATTTCGCGCCAACATAATAAGTTATGAAAAATGAACTAGTTCCCTAGATTGCATTTCGAGATTATTCCTTCTTCAATTGTTTGTAAATACTCATTTGAGGGTGAAGACGACACCAAAATAATGCACCGGAATATTGCCTTACAACGCAGCACAACTAAATTTGCCGTATTTTTGTTTTCATAAATGCAAAGAGACACGTTTCATCTTCTTAAATCGTACTGGCTAATGTCCGAAATTTCAATTTAGCCTTATATCACATTATACTACCTAAGATGTCCCTTTCTGCACGCTGTCCTCTCCATAGCGGACTACGTGCCCCCTTCCTGTGTCGTCAACATACGAAATCAGCTTCTAATTTCGTCTGCTATACGTTCCCATCTTACCTTATACCCCTGCTCCTTTCTCTTTGAGATTCAAACGTTGCTTATCTTTTCTCTATATTTCTATATATATTTTTTCTATATATATACTTTTTCATATAATGAGTGCTCTTATACAATCTTAGAGTCGAGGGCGTTTACCATCTGTTGGTTGGTCTTTTCCCCAGCTTTACCTTCTAAAGGCAGAACAGAATGCAGCCATTTTCCCTTGCTGCCTTCTGCTAATCTCCTTCTTCTTTTGCTTTTTATCGCCTGCTGCGATTTAGAACGCGACCCTTTCCACGTCGGCCGTAGCACAGGTATCGGCCGACCGAGAAAATCACAGTGGCGCAGGCTAGATGTAAAGTGGAATATTTCCTATGCAAGCGTGATATATATATATATATATAAGGAGGGAGGGAGAGGGGGGGGTAAAACCAGCTTCCGAATCAGCCCGTGTGTTCGTCGTACAGTCAGTCGTATTTTCGTGTACGTGTGTTCTGCCTAGCTACGAATACGTACTTGGCTGCGTATTTCTCGATGCCGTGTTTTGTATTGACTTATCTGACCATTTTTGCCAACAAACGGGTCAGTCATATGTTGATTAACGTGTTGCCTGCCCTAACCTGTGCGTGCGCCTGTGTTCCGAACGCTCTCGCTGTATCTAAATCTGACTTTGAGTGCCCTATGCTACGGAACAAAATTTAAACCTATAGTAGGAACAGCTGCAGAACAAGTAGCCACAGAGGCGGCTAATGCATCTTACTTTGTCGGAGGTTCCGTGAAGTTAATAGCGTTCTTTTTGCTGGGGCCAGAGTACTAAGGCAACGACGGCCGTAAGGTCCTAACATAGACCGTCTATTTGACTCTGCATTATACTTTGTTCGGATTGGATCGTTCGCTTTCCGGCCATTCGTCGTGCCGTTCGTGCGTTGTGGAAAGAGGGAACAGCCCGGGTAGAGACGAACGCCAACGGGCCATTGCTTAGTGCAGAGAATCGCCAACAGCAGTAACAATAGTACAGTAATAATCACAGTAGATAAAAAGCGCAGCTGAAACACATGGCAAAGAACGTAACGGATGCATACAAGAAAGAAAATATAGGAAGGGAAGCGGCAGCTGGACGATACAAGACACGAGTGGCGGGCAGACCAACGAGCAGGCGTCTGCGGTCGTGAACAGAATGGCACGACAATAACACAGCAGGCCAGTGCCGTCGCTGCAGTTATATGTATCGAAGTGTGTACGTGTGTGTTCATGCTGGTGTTCGAACAACAACTACGTTAATACAAGTAACATTGGATAGGGTGCTATGGTGCGAGCACGCAGTTTTGTTGCGCTATGATGTTCTGTGCCGTAGTTTTCCGTGCTGTTCGATACGAAGAGTGTAATACTTTGTGCATCATTTGCTAGGATTACTACAGCTGTAGCAGAAAGTGTGAAAGAAGGGAACGAGCCACTGACTGAGATGCGAAGGCGTTGTGCACATTTTCTGGCTAGCGACAACAGCGACGCGACGAAG